GGTCGTACATGAGGTTTGCAGGCAATCCCAATAACCCAGTGTTTGGTCAGCCGATGGTGTATGTGGAGTTCATTTCAGTCGCTGATGTTGCCAGATGCAGTAGCAGGGGCGGTGAGGTCGAGTTGGCCATCACATCAGCCCCTAGCATCGGCCCATCGGAACCGACGGGCGACCAGCCTCTGTATGACATAGGATATTGGTCTGCGACCGTTGACATGAGTGAACACGTGGAGGGATTGCCGGAGGCGCTAGATGATGATGATCACTCTTTCGCGTCTTCCGAGTTAAGCGAAGAAGAAGATGTTCGTCCCCAGAGGGCGGTCGCGGCGTCACTGCAACCTGGGTTTTTACAAGATATGAGCATCACAAGTGAATTTCACTCTGTTTCTGGCCTAGAAGCGGGGAGTACATGCACAGAGGCGGAGGAGACTACAACAAGAAAGAAGAATTTTATTAAAGAATCAATCAAAATACATATAATATCTATTCGTGATGGTTAAAGCATACCGGAGGCTTGTCGTACTCTGAAATAGCTACAGGTGGATCTTCCTCATAGTTGGCGCACATAAAAAACTTCATGCCCAACCAATCTGAAAAATCTGTCACCTCCTTCACCTTGCAAAGATTGCCACACCAACACCGCAGGACTGCCACCCCCGGAGGCAAACTTGCATTCTTCATTTTCCTCGGCCTAATGCTTTGATCCGAGCTGAAAAAATGTGTTACACACTTTGCGCAGTGGCGATTTTGAGGATGGCTGGACGAAGATGACGAGAGCCTCGGTGTCTCCTTTTATAGGCTCAGACGGCAAATGATGCCCAGAAAATAAACGCGAACAGATGAAATTTTACGATCCCTGTAGTGTCGGCACAACAGGTTCCCGCAACCTCGGATTCCTCCCGCATTGCCGTCGCATCCACTCAAGCAAAACAAGCAAAAGCAGGAGTGGTTTCCGGGAAGAAGAAAAAGCACGAGTGATTCACGGGGAAAAGCAGCATGCAGACTAAGGCATAGTCTAGTGGTGGGAAGGGGTTGATGCCTTCCCACCCACCCAGGTTCAAGGCATGGTATTTGCAATTTGGGTTTGTTGCACCAATTATACTGTAGGGGGTTCCCTTACAGTCTTTCTATAAAAAAAGCAACAGCACATCAGCGTCCATTTCCCGTCGTTGGAATTAGCGCCGCCGGGTCGCTGTCATGGGAATCAGCGCCGTCAGGGGTCAGGCGGCTGTCGCCCGTGCAGCTGCGGTGGCGGCCAGGCCCGCGCCTCACCTTCCGTGCAGCTGCTATTGTCGGTCTGCCAGTGACAGCGGCAGCAAAGGCCGCCTCCTGTCGTGGCAGCATGGCCCACCAGGCCTGGCCCATTCCGTCGCCGCTCGGGGCACTTTACAGAACACGTTATACCCCGCGTGGCTGCCTACTGTGGTGGCGACAGGGCCTGCCGCCTCCTGGCGTGGCGGCAGGAACCATGTGTCGCCTGCCACACCTGCCGCCACCGCTGAGGGGGTCTTTCTTGTCAAATTGATCCAAAGATAGTGCTTTTTGTCAATTCATCTTGGCAGGGGTCTTTTTGGACAAAAAAAATCAAGAAATCCATCGGAACTCACTCCTGCTACGGAGATCAACATTTCAATCGACCGTGCAGTGAGTTGTGACAGAGCATCGTCCTTGAAATGGCCCACGCCACCGGGCTCGCCCTCGTCGTGATCATGGCCTCGGTCATCATGCCGGCACTGGCACCACCTTTCGCGCACGGCTTCCGGACGAAGGTGCGCTGTTTTCCAAGGCCAAGGGCGTCGGCTCCGACAGGGATGCAAGCGCCGACGCTTCGACGCGTGCGTGGTGTCCGAGGCGCGGTCCCGGCCGGCACGCCGTGCAGCTTGAAGCCTGGGCTGATTGATGTCCCGGTCTAGGTGGTCGGGGCGGAGGACGAGTCGAGCCCATCTCCATCGCCGTGAGGACGAGGAGAGCATCGTCCACCGAGCGATCGATGCAGGTGGAGTGTGATGGCGTGATGCAATAAAACAGTTTGGATGTGCACGCGTGTGGTGCGAACTAACATCATCGCACGCCAAAAAAGGCCTTACATCATTGAAATAGTCAGTTTTTCCGCATAGTTGAGCACTGGCTCCAACGGCCGCTGCAAAATATAGCATGCGGGAGCCGCCCCAGAAGGCGCTTCAAAGAAACAGCGTGCGTCCAGCACAAACAACACTTGACACTTCAAACAAAACCAAGAAGGTCAAACACATAAAAAATAATCAACAATAAATAGTTCAATTTTATTACAACTCAAACAAATAGTTTATCTTTCAAAACAACAAATAGTTCAACAATACAACATCAAACATACAAATCACTCGTTTTTTCGTTCATTCCATGCCCACCACTCCTTGATTAGATCCTTTTGAAGATCATCATGCATTTCGGCACGTCGAATGTCATGATAGGAGGCAGCAAATCGGGCCACCCTCGCAGCCCTCCGCTGCACTCGCTCGGGATGTCTCAAGAGCTCATACTTAGAGTAGTCTAAATCTTGACCACACTCGTTCTCGATGATCATATTATGCATGATCACACAAGCGTGCATGATGTAACAAGGGATCTTTTGATCCCAAAATCTAGCCGGTCCTCTCATAATAGCAAATTGGGCTTGCAAAATCACAAAAGCTCTCTCCACATCCTTTCTAGCCGCCGCCTGAGCATTGTGGAAATCTAGATTTTTCTTACCTTCCGGTTTTTTAATGGCTTCACAAATGTTTGGCACTTTGGGTAGATGCAATCCGCAAAATAGTAGCCATAGTTGTATGTATGGCCATTTGCTACAAACTGCACCGGTGACAGTTCACCATTTGCAATCTTATTCATGAGTGGTGACCGATTAACAACGTTGATGTCATTCAAAGATCCAGGCATTTCAAAAAAAGCACGTCAAATCCAAGTCTCTTGATGGGCCACCGCTTCAAGGATTATAATGGAACCCTTTTTCTGACCGTGGAATTGTTCATACCATGCCTAAGGACAGTTCTTTCAATTTCAATGCATGCAATCTATTAAGCCAAGCATACCTGTGAATTCGCGAGCTTTGTTCATCACCAAAAGCCTTGTGGCGTCTTCAGCATTGCGAGATCTCAAATACTCCGGACCAAACACTTGCAGAATTCCGACTTCGAAGTGCTTGACACACAATGATGACTTGACTCTCACCCATGGCTGAGTGGTCATCAACTAGATCGGCCGGAAATACCGTATGCCAACATATGCAAAGCGGCTGTCACCTTTTGAAAGGTGCTATGCCCAAGTTCTCCGGCGCATTAATCCTTTGGTGAAAAAACCAATCATGGCTCGCCAGTTTCTCTGCAATGCGCCTGAACAACTCGATGCTCATCCTAAAATGGCGCGGAGGAAGTACGACTAGGGGTATGTGGGATTCTCCATAAAATATTGCCTCATCAATCTGTTGTCGACATCGATCATATCCCTCCAAATTTTCCGCCGACCCATAACTGAACCACCGTGCTTCGGCTTTATATTGATGTGCATAGTTAGGACCATTGCAAGGTCTTCCTCCTCCTCTTCAATATCAAATTCTTCTTCGGAAGAATCATATGACACACTCGTCTACAATATTGAATTTAAACTAGTCTATAAAAACTACAAACAATATGCATCAAATTCATGTAAATAATGTGGAGTTGAAGCAATACATACCTTGCAAGCGTTTTTGTTGAACACCTTGTGGGCGCCGAGCGGCACTATGCGGCCGGGCGCTGTTCGTCGGAGGAAGGACGCGCGGGAGGGGCGGCGACGACTAGAGGTAGGTGGAGGAAGCAGCGGCGACGTGGGGATAGGCTGAAGATGCCGTTTCACTTCATGCGCTGAACCATTTATGCCGCGTGCGTGTTTTTTGCGCCTCCCCTAGAGCGCCCGAAACGGATGCATGCGCGCATATGTTGGAGATGTTGGCGCCGCCTCCTCGCAGCGCCGCTCTTCTTCTTCTACCTCGAGCTGCCTCGCACAACTCTCTCTTCTCTCTTCTATGGTTTCTCTCAAGAACACCTGAACGCACACTACACACACACGCACCAAGGAACAGACCATCCGCTAGCTTTGCCGAGAGGCTCCGTCCTTGGTGAATACAGTGGCTACATGTTTCTGCTCTAGCCCTCACGGCCTCATCTTTCTCATTCATTTGTTGTGCTTAAATAGCCAGTACAGGATAACAACTTGAGCACCATACGGGCCACTAACTCCCACGTACTCCACTCCTGGAATCACTCCAGCGTTGCACACGACTCGGTAACCACTTGTGACCAGGCCAACTACATGCATGCATCAACTACTAGCAACGATACTCTCGGCTAGGACTAAACGAACTCACGCATGAACAGCTAGTCCAACAAACAGAACGACCGGCCGGTTCACCCGACCCAATTTGATGCAGTCCATCACGGCTCCAGCCTCTGATACGTCTTGCCGCTTCTCACGCAGCATCATCGGCATCTCGCCGTGCTCACCGCCTCACACGGCATCCTGGCCTCTCACCTCCTTGGCGCGCTCACCTGAAGCCTTCGTCGGACGAACACCATACTAGACTAGACTACATGCAAAACTCAAACATGCTAATACAAATATCAAGATTAGCTCTAACATTCACCCTTCTAATCTTGATATCACAATCATCATACGGATCACCCGCAGCCACTTGTCGACGCCGTCGCAGCGCCACAGCCGGCCGCCACCGACGCCGTCGCAGCGCCGGTCACCATGGATCATCTTATCATGGATGACGTCCTCGCGACGCCGATCACCACACAATCATCATGTTGCGGCATCGCACCGCAACTAACCATCAACGCCATCGTGCTGCCAATAGCGCCCACCTTGCGCCGTCTTGCCGTGGACGACGCTGTCGTGGCGCCGAGTACCACGACCTCTTGCCGCATGCAGCGGCCATGTCTTCACGTGGACGACGCCTTCGCGGCGCCGATCGCCACGCCGTCTTCTCCTCATAACGGCCTCGTGCCGTCGTACCTCCCATTGGCGTCACACCGTCGTCTTGTGGCAGCTTCGCACCGCCATCATCTAGCGGCATCACACCGCAACCGGCCACCGGCAGCATCGCGCCGCCGACGGCCACCCACCTCGTGCCGACGTCCTCCACCTCACATGGAGTCCGCCGCGTCGTCGTCGCCGCCATCGCTTCCGCGGATCGACAAGGCTCTAATGCCAATCGTTGGCGCCGCCTCCTCGCAGCGCCGCTCTTCTTCTTCTACCTCGAGCTGCCTCGCACAACTCTCTCTTCTCTCTTCTATGGTTTCTCTCAAGAACACCTGAACGCACATTACACACACACACATGCACCAAGGAACAGACCATCCGCTAGCTTTGCCGAGAGGCTCCGTCCTTGGTGAATACAGTGGCTACATGTTTCTGCTCTAGCCCTCACGGCCTCATCTTTCTCATTCATTTGTTGTGCTTAAATAGCCAGTACAGGATAACAACTTGAGCACCATACGGGCCACTAACTCCCACGTACTCCACTCCTCGAATCACTCCAGCGTTGCACACGACCTCGGTAACCACTTGTGACCAGGCCAACTACATGCATGCATCAACTACTAGCAACGATACTCTCGGCTAGGACTAAACGAACTCACGCATGAACAGCTAGTCCAACAAACAGAACGACCGGCCGGTTCACCCGACCCAATTTGATGCAGTCCATCACGGCTCCAGCCTCTGATACGTCTTGCCGCTTCTCATGCAGCACCATCGGCATCTCAGCGTGCTCACCGCCTCACACGGCATCCTGGCATCTCACCTCCTTGGCGCGCTCACCTGAAGCCTTCGTCGGACGAACACCACACTAGACTAGACTACATGCAAAACTTAAACATGCTAATACAAATATCAAGATTAGCTCTAACAGGAGATGCCCTAATGTTCGTTGTTTTCGGAACGCTGTATATGCCGTGTCAGCTGCTCGTCTGTCTTTTTGGTGCGCGTCTGTTTTAGAAAACAAAGAGTAAATGAATGAATACAATTGCAAATGATACAGAGACAGTATGAAGCTGGACTGCGAACGTATATACTTGCCACTGCCTGGGTCTTTGAAATTCTTTCTAATATTTTAGATAGAAGAAAATCTGGACGTTGGAAAATAAAAATAGGCATCGACCGCGCCGTGGCCCAGCGCAGGCAACGACGGACGCATGGCTAAACTGATAGCTGCCCTGCAGGTCCATGGTCAACACTTTCTCCGGTCCAGCTTTGCCTCTCACAATCCTGGCATCGCAATCTCGAATGCATCAATCACTTTTTCAGCCTGCGAACCACACGTGTGCGTGGACGCGAGTGCGCCCGCCTGAGTCTGCCTCTCTTTGAAGTCTGGGACCGGCTGCCGGTGCCGGGGCGCGACGCTTCGCTGCACGTGAGCTAGAGCGCGTGTGTTGCTGCCCTACAACAAGCTTGGCAGCTGCATGAATGCACATGCAAGTACTCCTATCAGGTATGCGCCACCAAAGCACATGGTGAAAAGCTATGGCCACACTTTCCGTAATTGAGCCTGTTCGAGCCGTCTGCACCGTTGATGATGGAAAAAGTCCAGAAAAACCCTTAACCTTTTTTTTGAGAAATAAATGCTGGAATTTTTGTCTATTTGGACCTAGCCCAATAGCAGTTTCAGAAATTACTAATAAATCCTAGAGGCACACGCAGCCCATTCGTGCAAGGCAAGAGGTGGAACTAAAGTTTAGTCCCACATTGCTAGTCTAGAGGGAGATGGACCTCTTTATAAGGGAGTATCCTTCCCCACTTGTATGAGCATGAGAATAAGAGGGACATCCACGCGCGCTCCTCCTCCGCCGCCCGCCGCGCAGTGACTTCTTCGTCACGGACGCCCCGGACTCCGACGACTACTTCCCCGACGTCGACAACCTCCTCGACGACATGGAGGACACCGACCCCAAGTCCAGTGCCTCTGCTCCAGCTGCTGTCCAGTATGTGTTCTTATTTTTCCTGTTAAAGGTCCTGCCACAGTTCTTTCTTCTAGTGTTTACCCTACACATGTTAGGATCTACCTCATATATGCATCTTGATCTACTGTCTGCTCGAGAGATGATCCTTTCTAGCTCATATATGCAGATGTTATTTACCTTCACTTTGTCAAATCGCATGACTTGTTTTATTACTGCTATACTAGTCATGTTTTATCTAGTATTTCTGTTAATAAAATCATTCGGTAAATTGCTCATATTCCCAACAATCTAAAAACCTTATTATAGGGAATTTACCCCGAGCGGTTTTGCTGCTTCCATGAGACCTCCTATGTTTGAGGGTATCCACTATAAGAGGTGGCGCGTGAGAGCAGTCTTATGGTTTCAGACCATGAGCTGCTATGACGTCATTCTGGGCAAACCTGAAGGAGAGCAAGATGCCCAACAGGCACAAGCTTTTCAGAAAATGGATACCTTGTTTAATGCTGCTCTCTTGAGTGTTCTTGGTGAGAACATCGATGCTTATGCGTCAATTGATAATAAAAAAGATATGTGGGACGCACTCGAGGCCAAGTTTGGGGTCTCGGATGCCGGCACTGAGCTGTACATCATGGATGTCACACCCAATATGCGATACTATCCTAAAGAGACTCGAAGGTCCCACCAAGGATAGAACCGCATATTCAAACGCTTTTGCAAGGTGGATATCATTACATCAACATTACATAATAGATGGGGATACATACAAAAGGGCATACAATGCCACACGAATACAACATCGTCATACATAAAAGCACCATCCAACTACGGATGAAACACAAACAGAAGATCAAACGACATCCACCCTGCTAGCCCAGGCTGCCGACCTGGAACCTATCCCCTGATCGCAGAAGAAGCAGAAGAAGAACTCCAAGACAAGCAAACATCGCTCTCGCGTCATGATCATCGCATAACCTGGACCTGCAAACGTTGTTGTAGTAATCTATGAGCCACGAGGACTCAGCAATCCCATTACCATGGGTATCAAGACTAGCAAAGTGTAATGGGAAAGGAAGGGGTAAAGTGGTGAGGTTGCAGCAGCGACTAAGCATGATATGGTGGCTAACATACGCAAATAAGAGCGAGAAGAGAAGCAAAGGAACGGTCGTGAAGCTAGCAATGATCAAGAAGTGATCATGAACTCCTACTTACGTCAAACATAACCCAAAACCGTGTTCACTTCCCGGACTCCGCTGAAAAGAGACCATCACGGCTACACACGCGGTTGATGCGTTTTAATTCGGATCTGGTGTCAAGTTATCTAAAACCGGACATTAACAAATTCCCATTTGCCCATAACCGCGGGCACGGCTTTCGAAAGTTTAAACCCTGCAGGGGTGTCCCAACTTAGCCCATGATAAGCTCTCGCGATCAACGAAGGATATACCTGATAAAACAAGACCAGCAAAGCCGCCCGATGCGCCGACAATCCCGATAGGAGCTGCACATATCTCGTTCTCAGGTCAATATCGGATAAGTCAAGCTACGAGTAAAACCAGCCCTCGAGTTGCCCCGAGGTGGCCCCGCAGGCTGCTCGGATCGGACCAACACTTAGACAAGCACTGGCCCGGGGGGGCTAAAATAAAGATGACCCTCGAGAGAGCGACTCCCAAGGGAAAAGTAGGTGGTGGTGAGGCAAATGGTAAAACCAATGTTGGGCCTTGCTGGAAGAGTTTTATTCAAAGTGAACGGTCAAGGGGGTCCCATAAATCACCCAACCGCGTAAGGAACGCAAAATCCGGGAACATAACACCGGTATGACGGAAACTAGGGCGGCAAGAGTGGAACAAAGCACCAGGCATAAGGTCGAGTCTTCCACCCTTTACCAAGTATATAGATGCATTAATAATATAAGAGATATTGTGTTATCCCAGCCAAAATCCTGTCCACCATGGAGCAATCTTCAACTTCACCTACAACTAGCAACGCTATAAGAGGGCTGAGCAAAGCGGTAACATAACCAGGCAATAGTTTGCTAGGAAGGGTGTCAAAGGTTAGAGGTTCACGGCAATTTGGGAGGCTTGATGAGCAAAAGATAGGTAACGCAGCATAGCGATAGAACGAAGCAACTAGCATAGCAATGATAGTAGTGAGATCCAGGGTAGCGGTCATCTTGCCTGAAATCCCGCAAGGAAGAAGAACGATTCCATAAAGAAGATGAAGCCACGAAGACGAACCAAGCGTAGACGAACGAATCCTCACGATCGCAACGAAACGAGAACTATCGAGAAGAAGCACACAACATAGTAAACACACCACACATGAACAAGGCATGATGCACAACAAGCATGATGCAAGACAAGACTACATGAAGCTACTCATGGCAAGAGATGATGCAAACAAGAGCAACACATCAAGGCAAGTTTAAATGAGGCCGGGAACAACATATAAGAAATCTGGTAAGTCCTCATATGCAAATTTCAAAATTGGTCCAGATCTGAATAAACATTATGTTCAAGTTGTTAAGCAGCAAGTTAAGATACACCAAGATGATCTACACGAGATTCTAGTCAAGTTACATATAAAGTTCATTTAGTTCGGAGCTACGGCCTAGAAGATATGAGCAAAACAAGTTAAACATGGCATTGATGCAAAATGCATACAAACATCAAGCAAACACCTCAAAACATGAATGCAACATAATAATATGAAACTTCATGCAAAAACAAGCAAGTTTCATATAGAGCACACTCAAAACGGAGCAACGGTTCCACACATACACTATACAAGTTATAGCAACAATCTGTCCAAAACAGCAACTGGGCATCTTGCAAGCATCAAAACAACATGCTACAGGACCTCAACAAGAAAACAAAAGGCATGATCATGATGTACAGGTAAAGCATAACAAAACATGAACACTGAGCTATCTCCATAAATCACTAGAACATACTCAAACACACATGACAAGATCGCAAATAATATCAGTTTCAGACTTTGCAGAAATAACATCAGGTTGCAATGTTTAGAGCTATCAAACAACATGTTACAGGAAATTATCATGGCAAACAAAGGCATGGCATGCTACTAATAAATGCATAGAACAAAAGTCCTTTACTGACCATGGGCCAAAAAGGATCAGAAGATATGATGGCACCCATGTAAACATGGCAAGTTATATGACAGATTCATACATGGCAGGAACAACAATAAGTAGGCATGTTGGTGAGCTTGTACCACTCACCACGAAGCATTACATGGCATGACAAGGCAACCAACAGTAAGAAGACATATTTATGAAGCCAAGCATGGCAAGAGAAAGTTCATAGAGTACATAGATCACTAGCAACAATCATGGCA